GCTATTCGTATTTCTGTATAAATCACAATATCAAAAGTAACAAACTTTTACAGAAGACACTACTAAATTCTACCATGCTTATACACCAAACAGAGTAGCATCAGTCAAATGTGAATCAAGGTATTGATGCAGTCACACAACCAATAATTTGAGGAATTTATTTTGATTAATATACACATACACCCTAGAATCCAAAGAACTACAAAAATGACCGGCCAACAATATGCGATATTTCGCAAGTTCGTCCCATATATTTGTTTTATAGATATAAAGATTATATAGATCGAAGTGTTAGTCCATATTGTTTCCTAGATATTCTTATGCTGAAATCTGGTTAAAATTTCTATATATCATGATTTCTAGTCGTTCCTTCATTTATTTTGGGATGTTTGTGCTCTTTGCAGCGCGTTGTCGATGTATTTGATTCAAGGTTATTTGTAGTTATCTCATCCAATAAAATTCAGTTCAATAAAGGTATTCTCTCCTGCAACATTTCATGACATAATATTTACCTTTGATCGAAATATTTGTTATTGTGGGCAGTCTGTTTGTAGCCTTCTCTTAAAGTTGCTAAATTGCTCGACGCAAATAACTATGGTACTATACTTACGGTAGAAAACTTCACATTTCAAATCACCTAATCCATTTATCATAAACAATATTCCATCATTTAAGACTGAGAAATAAACTACTCAAAGAAAAATCAAGATCTTGCTAACATGGCTACTACACTACTCTAAAGAACACCTAATAACTAGAGAGAAACCACATAACGAAAACCTCCTGTTATTCTGTAGGATGAGAACAAGTGCCCCAACATTTGTGATTGAAATATAAACTCAGATCGGGCTCCAAAAAATGAGCGAGACACAAGATTTTGAAGTTATAATATAACTATTTTACTTCCCTTTGAACTTTTCTTTTGTATTCAAACAAACACATACAAGAAAATCGTTATTTTTCTTGTGTTTTCTTTATTTTATCTTTCTTAAAACTCATCTGTTCATTGCTCTTTTGGTATTCAAAAGGATACATAAGAAGATATAGCAATAAAGGGTGAGTGGCTCACTTAGCAAATGCTTGTGTGGCAGGAATTAAAAAGGAAAACACACTGATTCAATTACATTTTTTCCCTTTTTTTGTCTAACAAAGTTCATTTTTGCTTTCTTGTATACTAATCAAGCAATCAACTACTCAATTCCGAACGGATTGGATCAGTAATTATTTCATTCTAATAGTTAGTTCATATAAATAGCTTTTTGAATCTAATTATCCCAAGCCCAGAGGAAATGTAATCTTTTAACACGCTTCTAGGTTAACATCCTACCGATTGTACTGTAGACAATTCCCAACAAAGTGCATCGCTAAGGTCATCTTAAGTTGATTTTTTAGTGTCAATAAATCGGAAAGCTGGTTTTATTTAACCACCAAGTTGATAGTTTAGGAAGGTAAAAATTAATTATAAAAATATATGCCAAAACAGTCTATGAATTATGAAAATAGCAAAAGAATCCGTCTCAAATACACACAGCCCGTCAGCCTCAGAGAAATATGTCAAAGCCCCAAATACCCCAGTTATCGCCAAATAAACTGACAGAAAATAATTGAAACAACCTCAACGCACAACTGAGAAAAGAAGAAGCGCATAAGCTAATAATTAGAAAATTAATTGACAGAGAACAAAGATAACAAATTCAACATTCACCTAAGATGAAGAGGTCAGAGATTGAACAAAGAAACATAGGTATTTGATGATATATACGATCAGCAAAAAACATAGTAGAAGCGAGGAGAAAAACATAGCAACCAGTTAGTAATTGAAGCGGTCACCTCGTCCTTGCTAACTTAACTGATAAGTTTGGTCGTTCAAGTATTTTTTCAAACACATAAATAATAGAGAAGACATAAATATGCATAAGAAATTTAACAAATATGGTAATTCATTGAAGAATTTTCTCAAACACCTAGAAAACTTTATTAGAAATGGTATTCATTCAAGATTTTTCTCAAATATTCCTCAAGACAAATACAGATAAAGACAAATCAAGAGATTGTAGAAGATCACCAGAAAATACAATTGACGGAAGAAAACACACTGCAATACAAACTTGAGAGCAAGAGGAGAGAGAGAGCAGATGTTCTGGAGCGTTAGTTTTCTAGAGATAGCGTTACTTCTCCACGTTCGTTCGAAATTAGCTGAGAAACCAGGAGTCTTTCACATGTTAAAACTGGAACTACGCGTGTTAAGCATATAAGCAATCGATTGAATAACTTTGAAATGACAGATATTCTCAGATTAATCTTTATTTCGTTGACCTTGAGATGCCTGTTATTCCCTCTTATTAGTAAGTAGTAATTTGTAGAGTAAAAATGGAGGCATAAACATAACAAATTCCTAAAAGTTCAAAAAGAATTTGAAATTTCAGGTGGAGCCATTAGTTTTTGAAAAGTTATGAATATGTAATTGTGAAGAGATGATTACCTTGGTCATTCGAATTCAATCCTCGAGAATGAGCAAAAGTTTAGTTTGAAATTACTTTAGTTTCAACTTTTAATAAGATTGGAAAAATTATTCTTCTTCAATATTTCTTTCTATTTTCTTACCCAACAAATAACTTTAGTTTCAACTTTTAATAAGATTGGAAAAATTATTCTTCTTCAATATTTCTTTCTATTTTCTTACCCAACAAATAACTTTAGTTTCAACTTTTAATAAGATTGGAAAAATTATTCTTCTTCAATATTTCTTTCTATTTTCTTACCCAACAAATAACTTTAGTTTCAACTTTTAATAAGATTGGAAAAATTATTCTTCTTCAATATTTCTTTCTATTTTCTTACCCAACAAATAGAATATTTCTGTTATCGGTACTATATTAGTACGGGGTAATTTTCTTATGTTAGGAAAATGATGGATCTTGGTAATCCTATTTTTCTATAACAGTGGATTTTATTTTCAGTTTCATACTTTATGTGATACTTTTTATTTTTAACTTTTATTTGCTTTTACAGTTAGATATTATTTTATCTGGTTAAATCTATCTATTTTATATTACAAAGTTATGTTTACCTAATTTTGTAATCGAGCTAAGCGGAAGAGTAATACACTTTATCGTGGTATTAATAGGTATTTAATATTTATTCAGTCACTTATATCTATTCTATGATATAATAATGTTACACTAATTTGTAACCGAAAGAGACAATGAAGTAATACTCAATTGTAACAAATATGGTAATCGAAGGGAACTTATCGAAAGAGGAGCATGTTTCAGTTCAAGCATATATATTTTTAATTTTTTAATATTATTATTTTGACAATTAACCGTATAATCGAGAGAAATACAATTAATTTATTTAATTTAACAAACCATATATATAAATATAATCGCGATAGACATATATACACATTTGTAATAAATATAAATTGAAGGATAAATAAATCTACTTTACAATCAAGATACAAATATTTTTATTATATTTGTGAAAAACTAAAATATTTTATTTGTTGCTCGATTTATGCATTATTTTCCAGTTAACTTACTACTCTACCTTTTTTTTTTATTCTCTTAGGGTCGTTTGGTTTGAATACGGCTTATGCCGGGATAAGTTATGTTAGGATTAGTTATGCTGGGATTAATTATTCTGATATTGTTTTTTATCCACTGTTTGACATGTTATATTAAAAATGACAATTGCATAATTTCTAAGAAGAAGATATAAGTTATCCCGACACTAATTACCCCACCCTTTACAAAATATAAGTTATCCCGGTACTAACTATAATCTCGGGATAACTTATACCAAGTTTGCTAACCAAACAAAGTATTAAGGTGATATTAAATTTTTATATCAGCACTATACCTTCTTATACCTCATACCAAACTACACTTAATTAATAACTAAAATAAGGACCGTATGTAAAATAGATAACCTATCAGATCAATATCTTTTTATGTTATATTGATAAAGTACGAATTGAAATTTCATATCCGCAGTGACTCGTCATCAAAGAAGGATTTTTCTTGGCCCGCTAGCCTAAGATAAACGGCAGTTCCAAAACAAAGTTTCAATTTCCAGCTTGATAAAGTAAAGTCCTAAGTGTCAATTGTAAAATCTTGATGTAATCCACTTGGTTTAAGCATATTTGCTTTCTCATAATTATCCATAACAACACTTTAAATAAGAACATTGACAGGGACTTTGTTGTCTTTTCTCCAAAAAGTAAAAACTCCTCCCCTCTGTTTTCCTCCTCCTTTCCCATCGACTATGCTTAAACCAAAGCAAAAAAGTTAGCACTGATAGAGCAATATCAAATCAAATGTCTAAGTGAATAATAGTTCTAGTAAACATTCTGCAAAACAATTTGGCCGTGGGATTTTACTGGTATAAAATTTGCACCTACCTTTCTTTTGGAAATTCTTTTTACTCAATCTTTCATTTGGAGATGGACTTTTCAGTACGTTAAAAAAGAAAAATGGTTAGATTTAGTTTAATCTTTGATTGCTGGGTTTATATTTCCTATTATACTAATAAAATTGGTTAGATTAGATTAAGCTTTTGATTGCTGGGTTTACAGACTTAGGAGAGGATGTTGTTTGAGTTTAATGTTTGGAGCTTCTTCTAAGGGAGGAGGAGGAGTAAAAAATGATATACTTTAGTTTTTAGATTAATGTTAATGAAATTTCCTATGAAGGAGTTAAAAATCGAGATTGCATTATAAGGGAAGCAAGATTTGATATTCTTTTTCTGAAGAAATTTTGGTGCCGAGTGGAAAGGAGACGAAGAGAAATGGACGAGTGAAATTGGGAAGGTAAAGGATGGAAAACCCCTATTTGTTCATATGTTGGTGATATGATGTTAGGTTAGCAAAACCTTGGTTATAAAAAGTTGTAACTTAGTAGTAATATACTTTTATCGTGTAAATTGAAGAATATTCATTTTCAGACTAAATAGAGTAGTTGACTATAACCTGCGAGACTTGGCTACATGTTATCCACAAAACACTTCCCACTTCCATACAATCTTTCTTTCTGATAACAATACAGTTAAACCAAACACCAACCACTGATTCCCCTCTTCTTCTTTGACAAAGAAAACACAAAACAGAAAAAAGAAAAAAAATATAGTAACAACAAAACTCAAGAAAATGTCAGTAGCATCATCATCTACTTTCCCCTGCATTAAACTTCAAAACCTATCCTCTTCTTCTACTTCTTATACTTTCAGATTCTCTACAAACAACCCCACCATACTTACCATAAGGAGTTCTCAAGCTGATGGTCCATTAAGAAGACCAGTAGCTCCTTCACCACCTACCCCTGTAAAGCCTATCCCACCATCTTCAAATACTAGTGTTCCTCCTCCTAAGCCTGTGGCAGTGGCAACTGTTGAGGACAAAAATGTAATTACAATGGAGTTTCAGAGGCAAAAGGCTAAGGCACTTCAAGAATACTTCAAACAGAAGAAACTTGAAGAAGCTAATCAAGGTCCCTTCTTTGGTTTTATTGCCAAGAATGAAATTTCCAATGGAAGGTAATTAAAGAAATTTATGAATTACTAAGTTTTATTATAATTGTCTTTCTATTGCTGCAAAATTGGGGTTTGAATGTGTCAATCTTTTGGGCGTTCTATTTAGTTTTGGTTTTTTTTTCTTGTAGGATTTAGCCTTAAGTTAATGTGTCATTTGTGTTTTTAAAAGTGAAAAATAAAAAAGCGACAAGGTACTTGAGGCTTGAAGCAAAAAGTGAGAAGTAAAATGCACAATTCATGACATTAGAAAATACCAAACATATAGTATGAATTTAGTACTATAATGATACCGCATTTTTACTCTCAAGTATCAAACATTGCCGAGAAAAGGTTTAGTGAGCGTTTGGACATAAATATTGTGAAATCCCGAAAAAAGTGATTTTTAAAAAAAGTGAAAATAGTATTTGAAAATAAGAATTGTGTTTCGATAGAATACAATTTGGAGTTGTTTTTAAATTTTTGTGAGTGATTTTGAAATAAAAATTTTGAACAACAGTTTTTGGAAATTCCGAAATTCAATTTCAAATGAAATTTGAAATTTTCATGGCCAAACATGAAATCTTTTGGAAAACAGTAAAAAAAAACTTTTATGGCCAAACAGGCCCTTAAACTGCAATTGAAGTAAATAATTTCAGCATCTAATATACAATAATGTTGATTTAAATCCAACTACGTCAAGTCGAGTTTCGAAGAACCAACCTCTTTTCGTCATGAATCAATTTGCGCTTCATTGTTTGAAGTGCACACTTCTATGAAGCGCATGGCTTCACCTATGGATTAACCCCTCACTTCGTATTGCTTCATTGCTTTAACTACACTGGTTTCAAAGGTCCAGCTTTGGTGTAAATATTGACTTACAAGAATAACATAGCTCTGTTAGACACCTACTTTGGCACGCAGTGGCGGAGCCACATGCGTCAAAGGGGTATATTTTTTACCGGAAAATTACAGTGTATAGCTTGGTAATTATTTTTTTAAATATGTATATATACTATATAATAACACTCCTTGACTTTTTGACGAGTTTATTTTCTTATATTTTGACTCCCCTTTTAATATATTTCGTGAATAATGATGGTGCTTCGGATGCTGATATTTAGTTTTTTTGTATAGTGGATTCTATTTTTCTTAATTACTTTTGAAAAATGGAGATGATAAAACAGTATATAATAAGTGGGAGAATTACCTCTGCATCATTTTGCAAACAATTTGTGTCTGGAATTTGATTAGTTCTTGCTTTGAACCGAGGTGTTGGATTCTTTGTCGTTGGCATAGTCAGTTCTAACTTATGATCATAATATTGAATATCGGTTGAGCAGATGGGCAATGTTTGGTTTTGCTGTCGGGATGCTAACAGAGTATGCAACCGGCTCTGACTTCGTCGAACAAGTTAAGATCCTTTTCTCGAATTTTGGGATAGTAGACCTGGAGTGAAACTCTGCTGTATGTATTATGAGAGGTAAAGATTCTCTCCTCTGTAATTCAAATGTTAAAATCCAATTGTTTTTTGTAAGTTCTCTGTCCGATTTTTCTAGTTTCTTTGTTTGAGCCAATTGATTGGAGTACACTGTATCTTTCAACTCCTTTTACTTTTCATGAATATAGAAAGTATGTAAGTTTTGTCTAACATATCGTTTTCTCTCATTGTCACCTTCTTTTTTCATCTCCTTCTTCAGTTTGAAAAAGGTACTTATTGATATGTCACGTCTTGCCACAATGGTTACATACAAGATTCTTATACTTGGATCACGACTTGAATTCTGCTTTTATCTCTATCCTTTAGACATTTGAAAGATTCATCGTTTGCTTTAGCAGGAACTGCTTGTTATCGTTTGCTTTTGAAGTATATAATATCTAAAGTTACCGTTGTATATATTACTACAAACTTGTCGGTGCTCAAATTGTCAAATATCCTCATCAAACATGATCCATTCAGACAAATGCATCTTCTTATGATGATTAATTTCGTTATTCAAACACCCCACTTTGCTTGTGTTTGTCTCCATCAGTCAAATAGACAAGTTAGCGATAGATAACTCTGAATCTATGTTACCAACTTGTTGGGAAGAGAAAGTATGCTAATGATGCAAGGCAAAGTTATAGAGAAATTAACACCTAGTTAAAATCTTTCTAATCTATATAAATCAACAAGAGCTAGCAAATTCAAGTGAAATTTGATGTGTGCAGCAACTTGTATTCTGCAGAAAATTGAATATTGAAAAGGTAAAACAACCAATTAAACACAAAGCCATACTAGCTAGGAATTTTACATAGGAAACCTCATCAAGTGAACAGTAAAACCGCAGGACCTCTGGTCCATCAAAAGACTCAAGTATACCAAACGAGAGTAATAAAAGTTCTCCAAAATGACTAAAACAACTCCAAGAAAAGAGAAACACTAGCAACAAAATGTTAGAGCTCAGACTGCACCAACAGCTAGCCCAATAGGGTGACTGACCCGGCCCATATTTCCTTATAATATGTATTAGTGTATTTTACTGCATTTTTCTATTTTTCCACTGTAAATATAAATACTCCTGGAGTGAGAAAATAAAAGGCTCAGATAGTTATTTCCCAAATATCATCTTTTGTTTCTCTCTCTTCTCTCTCGACCCTTCTAGGGTTTTCTATCACTGATTCCGCTATAGCTCATGGAGCTTCATTCTAACATGGTATCAGAGCGGGGATTCTGATTCCTCGTTACGAGAGCTTCATCTTCAGCGGTAACCAGAATCAATTTTCTGATTAAAGTCCGAACAGTTGGTGAATCTGCTACTACGTTACAAAAACCTTGGGGCTTTTATTGGAATCTCTCTCTGCATCGCCTACATCTACATAAAATCTTATTTTTATGATGGATTCGACTTAATTGGGGGTAAATTCAAGCTAAGGTTTGCGGTGTACACGAAGACCTTACTTCCTCGGGTTTTGAGAAGAAGGCTGGTAATATCGACCTAATCTACAACTCTGAAATTTATATTGATATGATTTTAGGTTGTGTTGTGGGAAAATTCATGTATACAACATTTTGTATGTTATCGATTTTGAACCTGTTTGTCTATTACACGATGTAATTTCTTTTCATTGTTTTATTTAGGAGGTAATATGGGTAGTCATGCAGATAACCTTACTTCTCCACCAGTTTTCACTTCTGAGGGTTTCACTCCCTTCACACTAGATCCCTCTCACCCTTTCTATGTGCACCCGTCAGATAATCCGGGTAGCAAACTAGTACATGTCCCATTCAATGGACATGGTTTTGTACTATGGAGAAGTAGCATGCTTTCTTCTCTTTCTGCTAAAAACAAACTTGTAACGACCCGACCGGTCGTTTTAAGTATTACAATCTCGTTCCCCCATTTACTGCTCAATTTATGCTTTATATTTATTTTGTGACTTGCCGGTGGTAATTGGTTCGAGTCCGGTGAGGTTCTGGAATGATTTGGAACATCTAGTTCCATGGTTTAGAATTTAAGTTGAAAAGGTTAACCGGATGTTGACTTATGTGTAACGACCCCGGAGAATTTTTGCTAAGGAAATTAAGGTTTTGTGGTGTCGAGGTGGATAAATTAATAGAAAGGTAAGCTCACCGCGACTCGGACATTTTGGGTTGAACAATGCACCGATGAGTAAAGGAAAATTTTGGCAGAAAGATGCATTTCTGCAGTCCATTTTGTGGCCGCAGAATCACTCTGCGGTCCGCATAATGGGCAAGCGATGGGCAGGTAAGGGTGCAAATCTACGGTCCATTATGCGATCGCATAACTGTTTTGCGGTGCATTATGCGACCGCAAAACAGGTCTGCGAGCCGCATAGTGACCTCATACTGGGGAAGAAGATGCCCAGTTCCGGAGGGCCTTTTGTGACCCATTATGCGGGCCATATATCAATTCTGCGATCACATATGCGACCGCAGAGTGTGTTTTGGGGCTTCATTTTTCTAGTTTTATAAACCCGACCTCATTCTTATAAATTATTGGGGGTCATTTTGAAGGATTTCATCTGATATTTTATACTATAGCATGTGAGTTGTCCGTGCAGCACGTGAGTTGTCCGTGCGGTTTATAGCTCTTGGGCTGAAGGAGCCCCCAGTGAGCGCTGGTACCTACTGAGTGCGAGTGCCGAGTGATTGGGAGGACTGAGTGACTGTGAGGACTGAGTGATTGGGAGGACTGAGTGAATTAATACTCTGAGAGTATGCATATGGTCTTTATCACTGATTTGCATCGCATTGACATGCACACGTGACATACAGGTATAGAGATGTATTTTCATCATGATGTACGGTATCACGTTATTCATGATTTCTCACACATAGTGGCTTATGGGCATAATGATGCATTTTTTACTATCTATCTGGAAAGAAAATGAAACATCTTATTTATTGTGGAAAGGATTTTTGGGAAAATTACTGTTTTCAACTTATATTTTTGGCAACTTCGGTAAACGATTTGGGTTTTTCACTGTTGTACTTGAAATGCAGAACTATTTTCAGAAATCACGATTCAGCTGAGCATTTTATATCTGGGTTACTCCTTTTATTACTTGCTTTATATTGTTATGAATTGTTGTTGCTTATGGGATTTGGACTCTGACCTTGGTACAAGCTCGCCACTACTTTCAACCTAAGGTTAGGTTTGCTACTTATTGAGTACATGTGGTCGGTTGTACTCATACTACACTTCTACACCTTGCGTATAGATATTGGATGTTTATGTTGCTGTACTCGACGGGAGCTGGAATTGAAGACGTACCTGCATTCTGGTTGTAGTTGCCTCTTATTCATGGTAGCCTTAGATTTATAATAATCTGTTTATGTATATTTCGAACAGATGATGTATTTATTTCATACCAATTTTATAAATTTTAATCTTAGAAGCTCATGATCTGTATTACTAATCCTTGGGGAGTGTATTAGAGTTAGTTAATATTAATTGAATCAAATTATTGTTATTTGGCTTACCTAGCGGGTGAGGTTAGGTGCCATCACGGCTAGTTGGATTTTGTGTCGTGACAAAACTAGGCCTATTAGATGGGAGAATTGACCAACCTCCTATCAACTCTCCCTATTATTTCTATTGGGAGAGATGTAATGAGATGGTCAAGTCTTGGATACCAACTATGTTTCCAGAGACATATCTACTAGTGTCATGTATTTTAAAATTGCAAAGGAGGTTTGGACTGACATCAATGAAAGGTTTGGACAGTCGAATGGGTCCAAATATCTTCAAATCCAGAGAAAAATTAGTTCAACTGTTCAAGGGTCATCTGATATTGCCACCTACTTCACTAAATTTAGGAGTCTTTGGGATGAATTAAATTCTTTATATGTAGGCCCCACATGTTCTTGTGGAGCTCTTCCCAAGTTTCTAGAAAACTAACAACTCTTCCAATTTCTAAATGGATTAAATGAATCTTATTCAACTGTGAAGAGTGCTATCATGATCATGAATCCTTTACCACAAATAAGCAAAGCTTATTCTCTTTTATAACAAGATGAGAGTCAAAGAGAAACTCAAACCTCAATTCCAAACTTCCCCAATGAATCTGCCTCTTTCTCAGCATCTTCAGCCACACCAAACAAAAATTCCAATCAAAGGATCAATTTTGACTCCAGGAAGAATAATTCGTCTGTTTCTTGCAAATATTGCAAGAAACCTGGACACACAGTGGAGAAATGCTACAGACTGCATTGTTTCCCTACAAATTTCAAGTTTACCAAAGGCAAGAAATCAATCTCTTGTGTCCGGTCTGACATTCTACTCAATCACTCTACAATTTCTCCACAACCATCTGCTAAGAATTCTGCTTATGGTTTCACCAAGGTACAATATCATCACCTGATGACTTTATTTCAGCAAGTCCAGGTGTCCCCTAATGTTGGTTCTGATTATTTTCATGTTGAGGAATCTAGGTTAGCACATTTTGCAGGTTTGTTCACTATTTATGCTGTAGATTCTGCTACTTCTCATATATGTACATCTTCTCAGTTAGGTGTAAATACTTGGATATTAGATTCAGGGATAACAAATCACATGACTCCACACAAATACTTACTTCACAATCTTGTACCTTTGCCTAAATCCTTCCTTGTTACTCTACCTAATGGATATGAAATTAAGGTTTTGTCAACTGGTTCTTTGCATCTCATGCATGATATAACCTTACTTAATGTCCTCATTGTACCTTCCTTTCATTTTAACCTAATATCTATACACCAATTAATCTCTCAGTTGGATTGCATAGTTATTCTTACCAAATTTAATTGTTCTTTATAGGACCCCTCTCTGAAGAGGCCACTGGTAATTGATAAGGATGTTGGGAGATTGTACTATCTACATCCTCATGCTGCCTTGTTTCCATCTCAACATGTTTCTTCTTCTTTTTCTAATTCTGTTTCTTGTAATAAGTCTGATTGTCTTTTAATTTTTGTAAATAATCTTCCATGTAATCAAACACATGCTATAAATAAAATGGACTTATTTTGGCATCAAAAGCTAGGACATATGCCTTTCCATAGAATGACATCTATTCCTTTCCTATCTGATAAAATTTCTTTCAAACAATCTTTTATATGCACTATTTGTCCAATGGCTAGGCAACAGAGGTTACCTTTTTATGATAGCCATATTTATTCCACAACTCCTTTTCAGTTAGTTCATATTGATGTTTGAGGACCTTACAATACTAGAACATATA